AAACAAAAAGAAACAGTAAGTCTGATATGGTGGTGTGCACCTGGAATTACAGCTACTCAGGAAGCTGAGGCAGGAGGATCGTGAGTTTGAGGCCAACCTCAGCATTATAGGGAGACTCTGTCTCTGAAAGCAAATATCTAAAAGGTGCCGTAAAAGGTGTCTGAAATGTCCCTTTGGCCTTAACCAAATGACAATGACATGAAAAGCCACGGCTTCCACCAACGGACAGGCAGGGACTGAGCTCACCTGTCGCTGTTTCTGCCACCTCTTTTGCTTTCCACCCTGTGGTTACAGCACAAGCAGCAGCTCAAGACAGACTGGCCTTTAAAGACAGTTACCAAATGCCAAGAGAAAACCAAAAGGGAATGGGCAAAAGGAGTGTGAGAAACATAAAAGCGTCAAACTTCCCAAGTTCAGGTGTCAGGTCTGACAAGACTGTGTCCTAGCCTGGCCTCTGGCCCAGATCTCCCCACTGGCCCCTGCCAGTACCCTACCTGGCTCCTCCCTGCCCGCCCCCTGTGGATACCATCCTGTGTCCTCCACTGCAGAGGGACCACTTGCACGTATCAGTTACCCTTCGTGGCATGCCCAGGACCTCTCTTCAACATTTCAGCTCAAGTGTTGCCAATTCTTCCTCTGAAGAAATCTTTTTTTTTTTTTTTCAAAGAGGTTTTTGCCTTAGGGTGTGTGCACTTGCGGAGACAAAGAGAGACAGTGAGAGGAAAGTCAGAAGTCATCCCCCAGAGGGGATAACCATGCAGCAATCCCTTCTCCTCCAGTCTCCTCCTGGGATCTTGGGCATGCACACACACACACATGCCCAGCATGATTTTCAAGCTACCAGGTCTGGGACTTGAACCATAGTCGGCCATCTGGGAGTCCAATGACGTAACCGCTCTGCTATCTGCTGGCCCCTGGAGCTCTGAAATGAGAGGCGAAGAATAGTCTTATATGCTCAGTTCTCAGATAATTACATATATGTGTGTATGTGTATAGGTGTGTGTGTGTATATATATGTACACACATACACCTATATATACATACATATATTAATGTGTATACATTTATGTGATGTGCACACACACAAAAACACAGACTCAAATGAACACAAAAATACTCACATATCTTTGATGTAGGAGAATTAATTTCTTCCTTTTCGACAGACACACACAACTTTCAGTCTCATTTTCTTTAGACAGGATAGGTGATGTCGCCTGCTGTTACTGCAGAAATAAAGATGCCTCTCTCCCTTTGTAATGTTACACACTGATGAACGGCAGCATCAGAATTTTCTAACAAATCGCTATACCGGCTGCTTGGTGCCATTTCCTCCTCCTTCTGCCTTCCAGACGGATGTGTCTGCCTATCTAAAGCCATTTGAATTCCCAGTTCAAAGACCTTTTTGTTAGATGGCCTATCTGTTCCCACGAGCATCGGAAACAACCATAAAAAGATACCCGTATTTCCTGCGTGGTGGCACCATGCCAGTCTTGATACCCCAGCACTGCTTTAGAGAACGCCTCCCAGCATGCCAGCCCGGACCCAGCAGGCAGCGGAGGTAAACAGGACCACGGCTTAATGCATATTCCCAAGGTGCCCTCGTCTCCTGTGAGGTGTACTGAGTGCCCACTAGGTAGTTTGTGTGCCTGTTAGGAGCAGACCGGTGGCGACTCCAGGGGAAGCAAACGCACTAAAATATTGTAATCAGATTCCTAGGGCGCTGTTTTTCTCCTAGCTCAGCGATGAGCCATTTCCCCCTGGACATGGAATTCACATGAAAGTCTTCAAGTAAAAAATATTGTGCTAGAAGAGGAAGGGGTTACACATAGACGTATCGTTAGTTCAGAAAGATGCAGATAACGTTTCTGCATTCTTATTTCTGTGTACACACATATACACCACAGATTACACGTATACCCCCGACCTGCCGATGACAGGGAAAGACAGCAACGCCGTCCCACTGCCTGTGGTCGCGAGCAGAGGACATGGTCCCTTCCAAGGTCAGCCGGACACCTCCAAAGGTCCTGTTAGCTTAGGCCCTGATCATGTGCATGAATAGGCTTTCCACCGAGTGGACAGTAATTCATTCATCTTGACTGAAATTAGAACCAACAAAGAACAGATCAACACAAATCAGAGGACACAAACATCTGGGACTCAGTTTACTGAGACTCCCCCAAAACCTCTCTAGTGGTAATTGCATTGCAAGCCCCAAATAGCTTTCACAGTTGTTTTTGCAGATGATACAAATTAGCACCCAAGATCGGAAAAGTATACTGACTAGAAAAACATTGGGGAATTTATCAGGGCCCTAGGTAGCTTGGCCAAATATATGTATTAACCTAGATACACTCTGGCATAGAATTTGGGGACTTCTTACAGCGAAAAAGTTCAGACTGAATCTTACTGCTGTTTGCATTTGGAACTCCCATGTGGGCAAGTTCATTTATAAGGCAGTTTCCTTCTTTCCCCACAGAATCCCTTACAATTTCACACAAATACCTTGAGAATTTTTAAATATCCAAGATGCTTAAAATCTGCAGTCTAAATCCTTTTGCATGTTAGGAATTGTAGATACCACACAAAGAATTTGAAGATTTTACAAGTACTTACTTACGCTTAAAAAATCCAGGCAAGCCATGATAACATGTAATGATTGTGAGTCTGGCAGGATCTGAACATACCTAGTGAGACAAAGAGAAAAGATTCCTTTTTCTTTTTCCCCTAGAGGTTTTTGCCTTAGGGTAGATGTGTTGGGGATTGGGGAGACAGAGATAGTGAGAGGGAAAGTGAGAAATCACCGCCCAGGGGGGACAGCTGCTCCTCCCAGGATCTTGGGGGCACACACACACACACACACACACACACACACGTACAGTATGATTCTCAAGCCATGGGGTCACACGTCCAGTATGATTTTCAAGCCATGGGGTCCGGGACTCGAACCACAGTCAGCCATATGGGAGTCCAGTGATGTAACTGCTATGCCCCTGCTGGCCCCAGTAAGAAGAGATTTCTAAAGCAGTCAGCATTGGTTTGGGTTTGCCCCCTTCTTCACACACCTCTGCTTGAGTCCAGGAAGAAGGTGCTTATTGTACAAATCCTGTACAGGAAATTGTAGATACACTAAATACACCAGACATCTTAAATGGAGAAGACTGTCTTACGCTACAGAAAAATTTACTGAATTTTGCACTTAGAATAAGTTCTTTTTTTTTTTTAAATATGGAACATTTCGAGCTCTCTATTGCTGGAGAGAAAAGTGCCCCGGATCCTTTCAGGACTCCAGGTCTTTTGGGCGAGACACAAATGAAGGTGAGGGAGGAAAGAAGAAAACCCCCTGGCCCCCTGCAGGATTCACTTACTCAGAAAGGAAATAACAAACACTCAGCATGCAAACTTCTTGTGAAGAAGGTGGAGGAAAACCACAGAACACAATGAAGGCAGAGGAAGACCGCCCTTTGGAACACGAGCACAAGAGGCAGAAAGAAGCCCTGAGCCTTTGGAAGGTGTAAACCAGGAAGCAGGGGGAAACCTGAGGACAGGGCCAACTCGCCCAGCCAAGGGTTGACAGAGGACACTCCTGTTAGGTATTAGGACCCCGAAGAAACGGTGAAGGAGTAGACAGATGGAAAGGCTTAGGGAAGGGATGAGTAAGAAACAGGTTCGTGGTGGTCCTTGGGAGCAGACACTCTGCAGCCGTCCTCACCCGGTGTGCTTCAGGCCTTGCGTTCTTTCTTGTCTGACACTCAAATCTGGCCCCTGCTTTCTTCCTCCTAGCGTTTCTGATGTATCTTTAATTTTACTTCTAGTCATCCGGTAGAATTTTGTTTTCAGTAGATTCCTTGTTACCAGAAACTCGTTGGACTTCAGATTTTGGCCCGTCTTCCAGGTCTACTTTTTCAATGGGGAAGTTTCCCACATATGCATAGAAATATGTTACTCCATAATGTAAAGTAAAACAATAGATGTTGGGGGCCGGCAGGTGGCATGGTGGTTAAAGGCACTGGGCTACCACATGGCCAACCATGGTTCAAGGCCTGGACCTGGTGGCTTCCTTTCTCACTTTCCCTCTCTGTCTGTCTCTCTCTGGTCAAATTGGAAAATAATAATAACAATAATAAAGAAAGATAAAATAATTCTTAAACCAATACATTAGAAAGTAGTATATTTAGTATCAGCTCACATATGTAGGAAAAAACTCCAGATTGTGTCTACATAAGTACATATTTCAAAAACTTAACCATGCTTATTTCTGTGTGGTTTGAAGTTGTTTTTTTTTTTTTTTTTTTATTTTCATCCGGTAGAATTTTGTTTTCAGTAGATTCCTTGTTACCAGAAACTCGTTGGACTTCAGATTTTGGCCCGTCTTCCAGGTCTACTTTTTCAATGGGGAAGTTTCCCACATATGCATAGAAATATGTTACTCCATAATGTAAAGTAAAACAATAGATGTTGGGGGCCGGCAGGTGGCATGGTGGTTAAAGGCACTGGGCTACCACATGGCCAACCATGGTTCAAGGCCTGGACCTGGTGGCTTCCTTTCTCACTTTCCCTCTCTGTCTGTCTCTCTCTGGTCAAATTGGAAAATAATAATAACAATAATAAAGAAAGATAAAATAATTCTTAAACCAATACATTAGAAAGTAGTATATTTAGTATCAGCTCACATATGTAGGAAAAAACTCCAGATTGTGTCTACATAAGTACATATTTCAAAAACTTAACCATGCTTATTTCTGTGTGGTTTGAAGTTGTTTTTTTTTTTTTTTTTTTTTTACTTTCCACTTACATGTATTTTTTAATGAACACATGTCTCACACACAAAAAGGATCCTTTTAATAATTAAAAGTAAAATAATTTGCAACCAGTTTACAAGGGCAATGGGGGCACCTAAACTCTTGATGAAAGAACGATAAAAAAAGAATTGTAAACTTCAAATTACCTCTGACTCTGTTAGCCAGAGGAATAAAACTGGCAATTATTATAGTTAAAAAAAGAGAAATATGGAATGCTTCATGAATTTGCATGTCATCTTGCACAGGGCCCTGCTAGTCATCTCTATATTGTTCCAACTTTACTATATGGGCTGCCAAAGCGAGCACCATTTGGGTGATGTTTGAAAGAGTTTTTATGTTTTCAAATGCCACGTTTCAAAAACGGAAGGAAAGGCTTTTTGCCACACCAAGTGTGCGCTACACCTTGTTAATACAAGTAGATGTAGCCAGATTCCAGCAGAAATACTTCTTTGAAAAAAAAAAAAAAGGTGTTGGGACCAGCAGTTGGTGTAATGGCTATGTCGCTGGACTCCCACATAGTTGACCGCGGTTCGAGTCCCAGACCCAGTGGCTTAAACTCACGCCAGGTGTGTGTGCGTGTGTGCCCAAGATCCCAAGAGGAGAATGGAGGAGAAAAGATTATGGCGTGGTCATCCCCCTGGGGTGTGGTGTGTGATTTCTCGCTTTCTGTCTTTCTGTCTCTCTCTGCTCTGTCTTTCTGGTTAGCGCATGCCCCCTATAGCAAAAACCTCTCAAAAAAAAAAAAAAAAATGGTGTCATCGGCAAAGGAGCCATGCCTTCCTCAGTGGCTGGCACACCCTTCCTCTCCTTTTGCTTAGCTCTATTTGTGTCTTCAAGACTTTTCCGGGAGCTGCACACCACTGAAATTGGGGTTCCAGCACTCACAGTTTTTATATCACTTTCTGGCAATAAGACTTTTTAATCCAGGTTAAATATTTCAGTTACTAGCACAACTAAAAGAATCCCAGAGTGTCCAAATAATAATTTTACTAAAAAAAAAAAAAAAAAAAAAAAGATCAAAGTGGGGGCTGGAAGATGGCGTGGTTGTTAAGGCACTGGACTCCCACATGGGTGACCACAGTTCAAGTCCCAGCCGTGGCAGCTTGCTTTCTCACTTTCCCTCTCTCTCTCTCTGTCTCTCTCTGGTGAGTATATGTGTGCTGTAGCAAAGTAAAATAATAATAAATAAAATGAATCACTCTTTTTCAGAAAATATTGAACAAAGATATGAAAAATTCCAAGGAGATAGCATGAACAGCAGCTCAGTAATGAGAAACAATCTTGGAAAATAGTCTATAAACAGTTACCTTCCTGCCTAATTTCCCACTCATTTACAATATACCAGGTAGAAATCCTAAGTGGAAAGAATGTCTTATTCTACAGAAAATCTACTGAATTTTGCACTTAGAATGAGTTCATTTGGGGGATGTTTGAAAAGAATTTTTATCTTTTCAAATACCATGTTTCAAAACCTAGTAAAAAGCTTTTTTGCAATACATAGTACATGCTACACCTAATATAAGTAGACATGGTTTCTTCAAAAATTCAACTACTGTGTTAATATTTATTTCAAGAAAGGTTTAAAATATCATTTAGCAGGCAAGACCTGAAATATTAAATATAATATGAAATTCAAATCTGGACAGCTTTCTCAACATCTGAGTTATCCGAGCCAGATCATTTAGAAAAAGAAATGACAAAGAATTCCTTTCACCGTTTTTAAAACACAAATCACTGTATAGCGTTAGAGCTGGTTGAGGAGGCGAGGGAGGGTGATCTTAGTTTAGTCGATACATAATTATGATAGCAAAACATTCACCAGAACGTTCCTGGACCTCTGTCTTAGAAATTTGCAGCTGCCTTGTTCTACAACAAAATCCTGTCTGTGTGGGTTTGTTATTCAAACTCTAGGTTTGAATTTGAATTCCCTATCTTACAGCTTGGAGCTAAACTCTGTTTACAAAACAGTATTTACACTTGACTAATTTTGCAGATCAAACTAATTAAATCAATTAAACTGGTGATTAACCAAATGAAGGCTGATTGCAAAAATTAGTGGGTTTATTTTGGAGGACTGGAAGTAAGCTAATTACTGCAGTGATGGCTTGAACCTGGAGTACTCTAAATGCGGTATAAATTGAAACCTCATAGTGAATTAGACTGGGAATTCATTACAGTTTAAAGCACTGTTAATACTATTCAGTCTGTTCCTCCTTGGGGAAAATTTCTTCTCTCTGTGTTTTGTACACTGATAAACAATCGCTTGGGTTATGTACATTTTATGGTGCAGCCACTAAAATGAGGGACAGTGAAGGAAAGTTATTTACTTTGAAGGTGATACATCCCAATGCCTGTCACACTTGAGTGAGCTTTTGGAACAAATGAGGATCTATCAACAGCTAAAAGGCAGATTATGATTCACGGAATGGAGGACAGTCGAGGTGGTTAGGGTGCAGGCGGGGCCCGGGGGCCCGGGATGGGAGTGCGTGTGTTCTAGTGCGTGCACGCTAAGATTGAGCCTTGCCTACCCAGCTCCCCGGCAGTGCTCATGCTGCTGGTATTTGGTCCACACTTGGAGCAACAAGAACATCCATGAAAGAAAAATAGCTAAACTGTTAGAATTAGATTCTGGTGTTTCAGAATGGGATCCAGAGACCACGCTCTCATTCTGTTCCCTGATGAAACTTGACCCACTTCTGCTAGCAATGCCAGGGCAGGTAGCCCCGGTGTGGGCTGATTTCAGTAACGGCTGCTACTGATGGGTCCCGATCGAGTGGTTTTTCTCCTGGTCTTCCCGTGCAGGCAAGCTAGTACCCGAGTATTTATGTCTGTACGTAATGCACCCTACTAATTGGCTTTTAGAGCATATCATTTTAACAAAATGTGAACGCAGCTGAGCATGTGCTTCACATTTTGCTGATTTAAATATCACTGAACTTTCAGTTCTCTGTTTTGCCTCAGTGTTAGATTGATGAGATGGTATTTAGAATAATAAAAGAAAGACTTCGGGTTCCCTTCAAAGATACAGCGAAGTCAGGGAGAGAGGTGTTGGTTTTTGTGTAAAATTGTACAGGGAAGCAAAGCAGTTTCCTTTTGTAGTCAAACTGGCGGAGAAGTAGGCACGTCCTTATTTTCATCATTGCGTCCACTTTAGAAATTAGGGGAAAAGTTCGTTTTCCCAGTTAATCAATGACTCTGTCTTGACCTATGGTTTCCTGCATGTTACAGGTTCATAGCAAGAGACACGCAATACCCCAGGAAACCCCACAACCTTTAGCGATAACCATTCATTGCCTTTTGATAAGTAGTACCCCCTGTGTGCCGGGGGCTCGAGAGTGCAAATTTGAACAAATGAAGACCACAGACTGTGTTTTAATAAGGACAGAGCGCTCAGAAAGGGAAGGTACATCTGAAGAGTTTCCATCTAATAGAAGAACAACAGTCACGTGACCGCAAGAACCAGCTTGCCCTTAGCAGCAGATAGCTTAAGGCTTCCATAGGTTGCCAGAAAGCTCATCAGAAACACTTCTGGTTTCAATTCTTGTTAAAATGCTTTCTAGATTTTTTTTTCTTGTTACAGTCGTGTGGAAGTGCTTGAATTTTCCCTTGATGCTTGTAGGTATTTGTAAGCTGCCAGCACCCCAGTCCAAAGGTAAACTCCTATCCCAAAGCTTATGGCTGGAGATGGGGAAGGTGCAGGAGCTTGAGCTGGGTCTTGAGAGGTTTCAGAGAAGGGGCTTTAAAAACTAAATACCGGGGCCAGCAGGTGGAGTGGTGGTTAAGGCACTGGACTCCCACATGGCTGACCACAGTTTGAGTTCTGGATCTGGTAACTTGAAAATCATTCGGCGTGTGTGCCCAAAATCTCAGGAGGAGAATGGAGGAGAAGGAATGGCAGTGTGGCCATCCCCCCAGGGGGTGGTTTCTCACTTTCTCTCTCACTATTCTCTATCTCTCACCGGGGAGCATATGCACCCTATGGCAAAAACCTTAAAAAAAGAAAAAAAACACTATATAGTTTATCTGACTGGCCTCTTCATTCTAAAATTTAAAAGTAGTAAGAAGAAATGTAAATTATAGGCTGGAACTTTCAGTTGGGTGAGGGCTTATAAAGGCAGACTTTCTGAATTTTGTTGAGTTACTTGAAGGAATATAGCATAAAAATGGAAGGATTTTCTTGCCTTATTAAACAAAGATCATCCAAATATTTTCATTAAAGACCCATTGATAGTCTAGATAATTCTTAATTAGGGAAGATAAAAAACGAATGACCAAATGATCAGTAGCAGCACTGCGAGCCGGGGATGGCCGCCCTCCTCCCCGCCAGGACTGCACGTGTGGATCTCGCCCACTGACCCAGAGCAGACCTGTCTGTGGGGGGCCGATGATGGTAACTGAAACCCACGCTCTTACATGCCGGCATCCGGGTGCAGCTGTACACAGACTGTACAGATGTGGGAATCCTAGAGTTTGTTACCACATCAGGAAGTAAGTTTATTTTAAGGCAAGAAGTTTGCCTATGGAAAGCGCTTCCTGTAGGAAGCGCTGACGGAGGCTGGATGATCAGGTGCTGTGGATATTAGGGAGAGCTTCCCAGGCAAGACAGTGGAGGGCACTCTCAACACCCTAAAAAATAGCTTTGTTAGAAAAGGCTGCCCTGGGACAGTCCATGGATGGGTTCTGACAACTACCAGGACTCTTCTTTTGGAAATGCCCTCTGGATCTTCTAAAATCCTCTCTCCCTACCTCTTCCTCCTGAAAGATGCTAGCGTCGATTAAGCTCTGGCTTATTCATTCTAACCCCATTCCCGGTTCGTCTTCTGGAACTTTGTATCAGGTCAGCCTGACAAAGCTCAGACCCCTGATCTCTGTGACAGCTCGCCTCTCACAGCACATGGGCCTTGTTTCCCAGTACCTAATCGTCTATCTCTGTGTACGGCCACGTGAGCAAGAACACGTTCTAGGGTTCACGTGTAGAGACAGAAGTTGGACAACTTACTAGTAATTTCATCTCTTCCTTTCTACCTCTAGTTAGACTCTGGTTTCTCTGCACCTGCCTAACAGATGTGGCTAGAGAAGAGTCCAGTCCTGGAGATACGACCCCCATGTCCTTCCACAGACAACATGTGCCACTGCAGGCTACTCACCCAATGGCCATTCCCCTCTTCTTCCTTGCTCACATAAAATCAAGTTCATTTTGTGTCTGCTCCTTGGCGAGCATGACCACACCCCAAGGCTAGATCACATTTGGGGGTCATCTCAGTGAGCCTGGTAATTTCAGACTTTTAGCCAAGGCAAGTGGAATA